AAACAATTACAGGGTCATTCAAGTAAGGGGGAAAAAAGAGCTGACAAAAAACACTTACATCATTCCACTTCCCAAAATTTCACCACTAATCCACCCATTTCTGAAGGCTTATTATACTATTTAAGCACTTGTCTGGTTCGACACGTCTACACACAGCAACAGGACTTTTTTTTTCTTCGATTACCTCTTCTTGACCAAGGGAGTTGACATTTATCTGTCAGATGTGGGCCAGAATTTTGGAACACATGAGGTCTTTGGGCTGATTGTTATTCAGTTGTAACACTGTGACACATTTTGGCACCTTCTTTTGTGCTTAGCAACGGCCAGGGATTTTGTCCAAGAATGAATAGTTTTAGTGAGGTCTTCAAAACGCAAGCAGTCACATTAAGTTATTGCACATGTTTGCAACTAGCAACAAGGGAGCCGAAACTTTTGTTTATGTTTTCGGACAACTGTAGACTCCCTGTTGGACCGAGATGGAGCAGATCAGCATTAATGTCAAACAGGCAACTGGAGCTAATGGAAACATTAGTATGCTTGACGTGTACTCTGGTGTTCGGATGATTTGTTGAGGAGCAGGGCTTTAATTTTCATCCTCTGGTCTCCTCCCTTCAAGGCAAACTTAACTGAGCGCTAATGACTCCGTGCAAACAATGTGTGACAGGGGGGACAAATTAAAAACACTTCCTGCTTCTTTCCGCCTCCTCCCTCTTTCTTCAGGTGATCTTTGAAGGGTCCCTGAGGTAGCTCCCTCCCTTCCATCTCTGGCTCCTTTCTCCGTCACCCTCCATAAAGCCGAGGTGTTGCGACCCCATCACGACCTGGATCCATGTTAGCCGTTTGACTTCGGGTAGCTGGCAGAAGGACATGATCAGCGGTGTGAAAAAGGGGTGTCTGAGTGTGTGTTTGAAGCGGCGGGGTGGGGCCGGCCTTCACAAGTGGGGTGAGGCTGATTTTGAGGGAGATGAGAGGAAGAGGATCATTCCATTTAAGTCTCACATGCTTGTCGAGCTGTGACTTCTTGTTAAAAAAGAGAGGCTTCTGGGTGGTGACCCCTCCGCATCAGTCGCTTCACCTTGGGAATTGAATGGGACACACACCGCAGCCACCAAGCCTTCCCTCCCCGACCCTGACACCCCCTCCTCTTCTTTGAGTCAATATGTCCGTGTCAGAGATGAAAGTGCAAAGTGGGAGGGACGCAGAGGGGGTCCTGACACTAATGTAGTACATTGGGCTTCACTTACTGATCTGCCAAGTTCTTTTGTCAAGCCCTAAATGCCTGCTAGGGTCCTTTGAACTGCTGAGCGCTCGCCCGCCCTCAGATGCCTCCTCCTTTAGCTTCAATGAGATATCCCCGGTGACATTCCCACAGTCCCGCCGCTGCAGACAGACACGCATAAGTGCACGGAAGCGGTTCAAATTCAAAGGCTTGAAAGGGCTCTGGGAGTAACATCATTCGCCACGTTGCAGTTCTGGCTCAAATTTGCTTTTTGTAAGAGAAATTAAAAAGAATCATTGAAGGCAAATTGCTTTCAGGTCATTTAAAAGCACTTTCATAGGTTGGGTAGCAAAGTGAGCCAGGTAAACTAAGACTTCTAACTTTCTTGCTAGGTTTTCTCACTCCCTCACTCTTGTTGGCTAATCTGTGTGGGTAACCTTATCCCAATTCTTCTCCACATACCCAACCCCACCCTCCTCCAATCCTCAAGAACTGGACTGAAACAGCTCCTCATTCACAAAGCCCTTTCTTGTTATGCTTCTCCATCCAGGATTTGATTGATTCTCCCTGATTTATCAGGTTTCTTCATCTTTCTCTTTTGCCTCTGCTTCAATTAAATTCGGGAAGCAGCTTTGTTTCCAAACTGGCAGTGTGAAAATAAATATAACCAGGCTTTTTAAATTTAAAGGGTCATTTCTTCCAAATAAGACCAATTTCCTGAGGCCTCAACAAAAGTTGAGTTTTATTCGTACAGGTAAGTTAATTTAAAGTTCTTATCAAAGAAATACAACTTATTGTTTATGTGTGGCAACAAAAATTTCAAAATGACATGACTGATTCTATCAATTTGAATTATGGTTCTGTAAAATAATTCAAAAAGCAAAGTGTAGATTTCATAGATTTATTACACCCAAGGTTAATATTTTTAAAACATCACTTCTGTTAACTTTGATTGTTCTGTAGCCAAAATCTAAAATTCAGTTTCTCATAAAACGTGAAAATGTAGAATGAAAATTAAAAAAAATTCTAACATAGAAATGCTGTTTAAAACCATGTTAGTGATTTGTCCATCAGACAGTTTTTGATAACTTCCATAAGAAACATAAATCAGAAAAGGTCACCATCAAAGAAACAAAAATGTTTTCAAGCATATTAAGGAAAAAAAAATAGAGTGGAGGAAATATAAAATGTTGCATATGTAATGAGAATAATAGCACCTTTGAAAGGATCATGAAGCAAAACCCACTGATACCTGTGGAGCAGATTTATGGACTACAGTCAAAGCATTGAGAGCCATTAAACATAGAAGTGTCCAAAGACCCCTTTCCAAATAGAAGAACATTTTTCATTTCATTCAGAAATCAGTGCCCTCGTGGCTGGAGGACGAATAAAGAGGTGAAGTCCAAGATGCTTGAGGTAGAAAATTGCTGTTGTAACTTTCAGAGAAACTGAATATTGTGTTTCCTTTAGTATCACAATTAACAGAAAACTGAAAAGCTCAGTCTGTATTCAATAAATCTATATCATGTACTTTATTAAATGATTTAATTAAATATACTTCCTGATAATATAATTCATCAAGATACACCTGTGTTTTGAATTTGACCATAACTTCAGTCTCTCTTTGCCTAGTTTGGTTTTTTCAGACAGTCTTACAGGAAAAGACGAAAAACAAGTAAAATTTTGATCAGGAATCCAATGAATCAAATAAGGATCAGCAAGAAGGTCAGAAAAGTATTTACTTTGCTTCTTTTACTCTAAATCTTAGTTCATGTCTTTGGAATAAACCCCTAGCTCTGGCTCCTGATTGGTCAGCTGCCAAAGCAACTATTACAGCAGAGGAGTGAATGCCAGAACCATCAGACACTTGGCTTGTATCCAGCAGCTATTCCCCAATCTCTCAAGACTGAGAAAATGATAAAAGCAAGTCTTAAAAAGAATGGAAAAATCATGCTTCTCTTCTCTTCTTTAGCTTCACATTGGCACCACCAGAAAACATATGCAAAATACATGGATCTATTTTGGCAGTAGCATAGTTCTACACTGAAAAAATTAGTTTATGTTTCATCTGAGTATCTGAAAATTTAGCAGTTAAAAAAAGAAAAAATACAAGCAGAGTTATTGTTACCAATAAACAACCGACTATGATAAATGTAACTCAAGCATCTATTTCATGCTTACATTAGGGTTTTTGAAACAATTATTTATTTTTAGGAACTTCTAAATAGTAATTGAGAACTTTCTACAAAATAAGTGCAAGTATGACATGATAAAGAGACATTTTTCTCAGCCACTGGCCAGTAGGCTAAAAAATAAGAGGAGCATCTTAGTGTCATAAATTTTCCGTGACAACTGTAAATCCCAGCTGGTTGTTGGGGAGGGATGCCCAAAAAATCCCTTTAAGTCCTACAATAACAAACATTGCTCAGGTTTTTACCTGAACTGGGTGGTTTGGTCAGATGAAAGTATCTGGAGTATCTGCTACAAAACAACGGGTAAATATATGCAAAAGAACCTGATACCTACTGTCAAGCATTTAAATACAGTGGAGGAGCTGTGATGATGTGGGCTGTTTCTCTTTCAAAACCCACTGAGAACCTTGTTAGACTGCCAGAAAAATGTAAATAGATCACCATTGGACCTTTTAGGAGAGTCTAGCACAGGAGGACAGATTAATATTGACATGATTAAACAGACACAAAAAACAACCTTCTTCCATCCCCATCTGAGTCCACAGAAATCCTGTGGAAAAGCTTCGGGCTGAGCTGCACAGCAGAAAGTATATAAGGACTCTGGACAATCTAAAGATAGCATAAACAAGAATATTTCACCTTTCTCTCTATGTGTTCCAATTATGCAGACTAAAATTAGGAAACTATGCAGTTGTGATACTATTGCTAAATGTCACTAAAGTCTAATGTAATGATCCCAGCCTCTCCCAATACTTCTCTTTCGGCCTCCTTTTTGAGGCCTGTTAAACTAATTATAAATATATAATTAACAAGAAGACCTGACATGCATCCCACTTGATATAGCATCCTACAAAATATTTTAGGATGCCTACACGGCATACATTGGAATTACAAGTCTTAGAATTCTTAGAATTGCAAATTGCTGTTCATTCTCAAAAAGGTCTTTGAACAGATTGAACAGCAGGGGTACCAATACATTTAATTACCATCATTTTAGTGTGAGATTGTGGTAAAAGAAAATCTATTTTTATTTTAGGGCATCTTACACATTTTTACCAGGAGGGAAAACATTTGCCCCGCATCTGGGTCCCTCTTCTCCTTCCTCTGACTCACATGTGAGCAACTCATATACCTTCCGCAGTTCTCTCTAACTCTTCAGTTGTGGTTGGAGAAATTTGTCCCAAACATGCAGTGAAGACATGACTAGTAATTCAGACCCTCTGCTGATTGCTTCTAATCATCCTGTCTGTAAATCACTCTTCAGGTGTATTTTATAAGCAGAGAAATCTTTGTGAGGGGTGAGCAGCAACTAATGTAAGCTGGATTTGATCAAACACTAACAACCTCATATTTGTGCAACCATCATTCAAATAACCTTTTGAATAATTACTATTTACTGCACTTTCTGTGGTTTCCCTCCTAGGGGCAGAGAGACTAAATTAGCTGTGTTCAGTTGTGTTACAAGGATTATTACAGTGCATTGCAGACAGGATCACATTGAGAAAAAAAAATCTCAGATTCATTTTATAATCTCAGCTTGACTTTATCAGTAAGATTCATTAATTTTTTTCAAGTTTTTGTGATGTATTTTTTAACGTGTCATGTAAATCAGTAGCTGGGGCTTTTCTCTTAATTTCCCACCAAACCAGCAGAAGAAGACCCTATGAAAACCCCACGCATGGGAAGTATATGTAACCATTTAGAATCATTTTAAATGTCAATGCATAAGGAATCCCGGGGATCCAGTTTTAATGGGACAATAAAACCGAACCACAAAGTTGTTTCTCTCTCTCCCCCCCCCTCTCTGTCTCTTTTGTTTAAGTTGCAGCCTCACTTCAACGCTGCCAGCTCTGTAGCACTCGTAAACACATTCACACTTCTCTTTTATTTAAATATCGGTTACGTTATGGCACATAATTGAAGAGAGAAAAAAATGCATTTGAATGGTGTCTGGCGGAGCAGGTCCAATCCACAAACCCACACTGATTTAAAAAGCGCACAGAAAGGAGAGAGACAGGACCAGTTTCTGTTCCTGGAAGAGCAAAGGCACCTCAACAATCAAGTTAATTAAAACTACTGCGGGTGTCAGAAAAAAGGGAATTATATTCATAGCCATTAATTATTTAAAAAAGTACACAATTTGCATAATGAAGTAGATTAAGACTCATCTTTAAATTAGATTATCAGTGCTGACTCTGTTAAGGTCTAATTTCTTCTTCTTTTATTAAGTTTGTGAAGAAAAGGAAATCCTACTTAAAAAAAAAAAAAAGTTAAACTATCTCCTTGCGCTTTGCCCACCAGGAGAAAAAAAAATCTCTAAAGCTGATGGTCTCTCTGCGATTACCCTATCAGGTGCAAACCGCTGACATGTTTCCACCCACCAACAACAAAAAAGCCTCTCTGTGCCCAAATCTCCAGCCGCAGTCGCACAAACACCGCTGACAGGCAGGCAGCAGGCAGGCAGCGCTGCGCTATCACCAGCCTCTCCAGGGATCTACGACTTTTACTGTCACTGCGAGATTTTTTGAATTTTAATTTCACCTGGATAAGTTTATCTGCTTGCCTTGTTTTTTGAGGACCGCTTTATTTGATTTTCCCCCCTAACATTCCTACAATGTCAGAATAAAATGTGCCTTGCAAGGTGTAGAAATCCCCCACAGGTACGGACCAAGATGAAGAGCCTGTGATCTCTGGAGGAGCAGAAGCTCAAAGGATATTTTTTTAAGTAAGGGGAATTTTTTGAGACGTCGCAGCTTGGCTCCAGTTTAAGGTGAACTTTTGATACTCTGAGGACCTGATCTGAGAAGTTAATCTTTGGGATAGTTCCCCCAACAAGGAAGCGCCCAATGTTGTACTCCGTGCCTTTCCTGCTGCATATATCCTTACATTGGGATTCAGTCTCCTGCTTACCGCCGGAGTTGTGTGCGTAAAAAGACGCGCAGCGGAGCGAAAGCCAGAGAGAGACAGAGAAGGAGGCGATCCCGCCAACCTTTCCCGGGGCTCTGAGTGCGTGAAGCAGGTGTATTTGAGCCGTCTTTCTGAAAGCCAAGATGTCCGTGCTGCCTTCGAGGTTCCTCTACCTGTAAGCGCTCCACATCTCTCCTTGCTTTTTTATTATTTATTTATTTTTATTTTTTTGCATAAACTCATGCATTCTTACCAATAGAAGTCGCCAAAAACTTCATATTTGTGCATTGCTGTCATCCAGGTAGGCTGCGTTTATTTTCCATGTAATTGCCCGTGTGATTCACTCCCCTTTCTCTCCTCCTAGGTGTTTACACTTTCTGGTTTTCTACTTCCAGCTGCAGGTACGTTTACTCTCCTTTTATATTTTTTTGCATGTTCATGTGCAGCTTTTTTTATTTGAGTCATGATAGAAGAATGGCCATGTGCTGCTTTCATCCCGTTTACCGTAACATAAAACGCTACAAATTAGAATCAACACAGATGTGGAAAAAAAACTCACATTTTTTTAATTAAGTTAGTATATATCAATAACTTTACTAAATGTAATCTGTTTGCATTAAAAATCGCAAAAGCGAACCGTTTATAATAGGTTTAATTATAAAAGTCGTAAATATTTAACGTTCTTGTTTGCAGTTGGGGATTCAAGTAGCATTTTTCACTAATTCACAGCAACAGCTGGGTTGTAAACATGTAGGTGCCTGGGGTTGAAATTTGCAGTTTGAACAGATGACTCGTTTGGCGTTTGTTGCCTTGTTTTTACTAGTTTCGTCTTACTTTGAACCATAACGATTTGCAGACATCCACTCAGCTAATTGACTGCGTTGGCTTTGATTCAGCCGCAGCCCTTTTACCCCCCACCTCCACCTTTCCCGTATGAAACTATTTATCAGTTCATTGTGTGTCGTTTTTGATTGTTTTAAATAAAAATCCATGTTTTTCTCGTTTTAAAGATACCAAATTTATTAAATAAAACAAATAGCGTGGAACTCATAAAAACAGACATTTAACAACGTTTCAAATAAAAAACGCAGCAAATACTTGATGAATAACATTCTTGTCTGTTTGTTTCCTCTAAATTGTTTTATTGCATGTTCAAGTTTGGTTATTCTCTTAAAGAAAGAAAGAAGCACAAGAACTTATGCACAATTTGAGTCATTTTCAGGTTCTAACAGGACATCAGCATGCAATGTTATTGCTTCAACATATTGAATCATGGATAAAATAATAAGCAGTCTAGTTATTTTTTGGTATAGGAAAAAGGCAGAAGATTATTCTCATTGTTGAGCTCTCAGTAACATTCTGTAGGAAAACATAGGAGATGAACCACGGTTGGAAGTGAGGGCATCACCAGCATGAGTGTGTGCTTCAGTACCTGCCTGCATGCGTGTGTATGTGTGTGTGTGTTCTGTAGATAGCATGGCATATCTTAGATGGATGCAACAACTGAGCTTCCTCCGTGAAGGCGACGGCCAGACTTTTTGATGTGGAGACAATATCCGTTTTCATGCTGCATCTTTGCAGGAAGGAGACGGAGTGATAAAAACTATTGTCGCGAGCATTCACCTCAGCCATGTGCTTAGGCTTGCCTCTCCATTGAGATGAAATCCAACTGTCTACCGAGCACACCTTTGTATTTGTTTAGAGAGGGGAAGATTTGGGATAAATCCCTCAGCAGCTCAGCGAAGCTATGTTTTGTTGTGTGGTAGCTCTTTTTTCACTCCTCAGCTTTGAGGTTCATGTTTGACAACAGATCACGCTGATGAACAGCTTTGATTTGTGGAGACTTTGGCATGAAGTGCTTGCAGTTGGAAACATGTCTCAGTCGAAATTGGAATGCAACATCTTTGGCTGTTGCAGTAGTGACACCTTCTCCCCTCATTTGTCTAGCCGTTGTGGCTGTTAGCTTCACCAACATGCTGAGAGAAAGCAGCAAAGCAGGACTTTCTGTTTGGAAGCATATATATATATATTTATATCAAGATTTATTGTTTCGGTCCAAGTCCAAACATGTGCTTTACTCTGCAAAATGTGAATCTTTATGGCAAAGTTTGGGATTTTCTTGTGGAGGCTGTTGTTGTCACATTCTGTCCAATTGTTGTTTGTATCGAAGTGATTTCAAAGAATCTAAAATACAGAAGACAATGGTCGCTGTAAGAAGCAATTTTTATAATTGTCAAAATCAATATTATACTCTCAACTATGTTGTTTTTAAGTTTTAAGAATGGTTGTTCTTGAGGCTTTATTTGTGGTAGTTTGTGTATATCAAAGCTTAAACAAGGCATTTTAGAGATAAGAAAACATCTGAATGAGGATGAAGGACACCAGGAGCCTAAATCAGTTTGCATTTGGATTTGAAGAAGTTGTTTATGTTTCCTGTCTGATGTAAAGGATTTGTTCTCCGGAGGTTAATGTTTCACCTTGTGTTTTTGCTAAATGTCATCAATTCACTGAAGTTAAATCAACAGGCACTCTGAGTATGTAATCTGTATATAATTACCCACCTGAGATCCGCCACATAAAAAGCCATTACTGTGCAATTACCACACCATATACAGCTGGGGAGATGGGATCACGGCGTGATCCGAGATTCCAAGGCTTCTGAAAGTATACGTTTCCTCTCTCTCTTCCACATGTTGGGTCACAGTTGCTTTTCTGTCATGCTGCCAAATATTTTCCCACATCTTTATGTCAGGTCTTAGGTAACTCAGAAACATCAAGATGGTGAGAGGCAGAAGGGAGATTTTTGCAATTTGATTAAAACATCTCCAACAAGAGAGTCTTTGTGGTTTAAGGTACTTCTTTCTTCCTCGCTCATGTCCCCCGCCTGCTGCATTTTCTAATTTATGGACCCTATTTGGCCTCCAGGCAGATATTTGTTTGATGATAGTGCAACAGGTCTGGATGCTTCAGGTGTATAATTGCTAGTGGCTTGGTTGCTTGTGGAAATGAAGTACAGGTTTCTCAATACTGCCTGAGGCACACTATATACTGTGCCCCAGTGCTCACAAACAAGGCCTCTCTGCAGGCTTTGCACTTGTTCTGTTGGAGTTTCACTCAAATACACTCTCCACTTGAGTGTGTGCTAATGTGGTTAGCTTCTTGTAAATGCATTGCAAATAAAATGTGCCACCTTAAAGAGGAGAAACAATAAATCTCTGCAGCTACAAATTTCTATGTTGTTATCTTGGTTTTTACACCCTAAAGCACTTTTCTTTTGACATAGAGGCCATAAAACCAACAGCACATATTACTGTCAACATCTGTGTTTTGACAGTCTCGTTGTACATTTCCTCTTGTGCAGGAATCGCAGCAGAGCACTGCCGATTTCAGGTTTTACATTGAAAACCACACGAGGAACCCAGATGACCTGAGCCGAAAGCAGGTCCGGATCTACCAGCTCTACAGCAGGACCACAGGCAAACACGTCCAGATCCTGGGGAAGAAAATCAATGCCAACGGAGATGATGGGGGCAAGTATGGTATGGGAGAATTTCTGTGCATCTCACTTGACACTTTAGCTAGTCTGAGATCGCAAATCCAGCCAGAATAAAAGTTTTGGTGCTTCTAGAAACTCCTTGACTCTGACCCTTTAGGCTATTTGCTCTTCATTGTTCTGAGGTTGTTTTCTGTTTGCCTAGTGCAGGAGGAGTTGGTTTTGGAAGACAGTCAATAGTGAATGAGGATGGATGAAAACCTGCTGAAATTACCAGCCTTGCTGAGGATCTCTATGATGACAAATATCAAAGACACACCAAATCAATCAGACAGATATTGGCTCTGATCAGTGACTGGCAGATCTATGCTGAAAAAATCTTGATTTCTCTTAATGTTTATCAAATTAATCTAAACTAATATTCATAACTTTCAGTCCATATGTTCATCAAAAAACAGCCTGTACTTGATTCACCTCCTGGAGTTTCACAGAAAGAATCAGATAACGGATAAAGAAATTTGCTTTAATGCATAGATGTTAATGATCTTATGAAGCCATCATGCTATGTTGGATTCAAAAGCACTGAGTCTGTAAAGGAACATGTAGCATACATTTTGTCTTTTATCTGTTACTGACCTTGAAAAAATGGCTGATTGGACTTCCAATAAAACCAAGAAAAGTTGGTCAGTCGCATCTCTGGAAAATATCTGTTGTTTTTTTTCTTGATATCTCACCCAGAAGGTATTGATCTTTGTTCATTTTTTTTCCATCAACGTTTTGATGAATGTGATATTTCTTTCATGAGGAAAAGTTGCTCTTTGCCTCTTTCAGGTGAAGGTTCAGTATTGGTTATTTAAGCAGTAGAGATGATAGATCTTTTATACTTGAAACTGTTAAGCATTTAAACATAACAACCACAAAAAATGCTGCTGGAGGATTTTGGTCTGAAATGAATTATCCACCTTAAATCTCACCACTTAGCTCTGCACATGCTTTTTCATTACTGCAGATCAAATATGGCGGATGGCTAAATTGATGGTCAGTAAAGCACTCTTTGATGTAGCCTGTGCCGCGCTTCCCTGCAGATATTTTTTTCTCATAACAGCTGACTCACAGCTCCAAAATTGCCGGTCTTGAATGCCTCTGAGTCAGTGTGTTCAGTTGCAGATGCGCGCAGGCGAAGTTTCCTCACTGCTTGTTAGAGCTTGAGTGGAAGCAGATCCAATGTTTCCCATGAGCCTTTGCCAATTCTCTCCCCCTCTTCCCCGTCCCTCACCACCTCCTCCCCATCCAGCTGCAGTACCTGGCACCTGTGAACTCCTTTGCACTCACTAGTAATGTTCACTTTGAAAGATTGTAGTCTGGTGGCAAAAGGCCCAAAAAAAAGAAAAAAAAAAACAGACATACCAAACTTGGTTGCAGACCTTTGACTTCAGATCTCATATTTGTACATCTGAAGTACAAGAATTATAATCCATCACAGGTACTAGTATATCATATGTATTACTTTTAAAAAACCAAAACACACCTCTTCCACATCTGTCCATCGTAACTGATATCGGTTGTCCTCTAAAAGTGGGCAGTGTAATATAAAAACATAAGTCTAATTGATAAATGTTGCAACGTGGAAGAAAAACACAATTTCTGTTTAACTTTTTAGACAGACATCTATCTATTGAAGTCAACATAGGGCTGTAACTATCATTTTTCATATTGTCGCAATGCACCAAAAGCATAAAAAATAGTCCGAAAAGAGATTAATATTTTCTTTCACTCACTGGCATCCAGTCTGCTCAGCATTTGTCTCTCATGTTTTGATCACACCTCACTCAAATTTGTCTAATTTTAGCTTGACATCCTTAGGAAAATGGAACAAAACTCCCACTCAAACTGCAATTCAAAAATAAAAATAAAAGCAGATTCTTATGTTTTGCAATCTCTTAAATGGAGGATTTTAAGGGCAGTAGTACTTCACTGTTAAGTTGTGCAAATTTTAATTTTGTTTAGCCAAATAATTGATGTGCTCCTCTCATTTTATAAACATGTTTGGATTAAGATTGTGATTATGTAACACTTAGTTAGTGGTACTGATAACAATAAAGTTTATAAAAGGGGAAATGGCGATTGTAATAGGAGTTTGCCCCGCAATTGGGGGGGTTGATGGTTTGATCCCTACTTCACCCGCCTCATTCATTGTGTCCTTAGGCAAGACACTTACCCAGCTTGCCTGCTGGTGGGGGACAGACAGTCTAGTGGCACTGGTGCATGGCAGCCTCACTTCTGTTAGATCTGCCCCAGAGCAGCTGGGGCTACTATTCAGTAACTTGGAATGGGTGAATGATTGTTGTGTTAAGCCCTTTGGGGTCCTTTGGACTTGATAAGATGCTATACAAGTACAAAGCCAAAATATTTCAATTTTATTATGATGACACTGTCACTGATATGCTTAGAATCCAATCCAATACAAACTTGGATGGGTTACAGACATTGAATTTGCAAAATTCAATGTCTCAAGAGAGGAAAGAAAAAGTTGAAAACAGATTGGATTTAGCTTTTTTTAAGTGCAGCTCAAGAGGTCCAAACTAATCTATCTAATTATAAAACCAAGGTGGTACCACAGGAGAGGGAATTGCTATCCCCTCCCAAACTTTTCAGAGGTCACCTACTTCCCACCTTTTCTCTCAAGGTTTGATTTTAGGGTGGGAGTTACTTCTGCCCATCCCATTCCCTTCCACTATTCTTCCCCTGCTCCCTTGAGCGCTACTGAATGGCCCTGTGTGTTAAACAAATGGATCATCTTAACTTTTTGATTGAGTGAGCACAAACTAAAGGGAACTTGAAACCTAATCCTGAGGGGCACATGACTGTTCCACAAACGTTTGGCAGATTTCTTTGCTGGTCTGAGGGCGAGTGCAGACAAAGGTGACCTTGCAGGGGTGAGCATGTTGGATGGGAGCAGGAGCAGGGTGTCGGGGGCTTGGAAGAATAAAGGAGCCGTCAGGATACATCTTTAGAGCGCATTATTGCCATGTCAAGTCATGACAGAGACCTGTTGGTGGGACTGGTCATTATTTTTGCCAAAGCTTCTCAGTTCAAATAGCTTTGGTATTTTTTACCAAGAGTAGATTCCTACTAATGCCTGGAATCTTAGTGACTTTTTAATAATGAATGAAGAATTACCCGTTGTGCATTTTTAACTGAATCACTCAATATTTGGAAGTTACATTTAAGAAAAACCTACAATGCATGTAAAGTTGTTTTTTTGTCTTGCGAGAACAAATGTACAGGAAGAAAGTTTGTACTAGAAGATATTCAGTGACTCTTACTAAGTCTATTGTGTCTTTTCTTTTCCAGCCCTTCTTGTTGTGGAGACAGAAACATTCGGAAGTCACGTTCGAATAAAAGGAAAAGAAAGTGAACATTATATTTGCATGAACGACAAGGGCAAAATTGTCGGAAGGGTGAGTATGAGTGAGTTTAGTTATTTTGGAATATTTTCTAAAGATTAATTTGGCAACACCTTAATATTAGAACCTGTATTTTAGACCTAGCCTTTAACCCTATTTGAATTTAGTAGGAGCTCATATCGTTTTTCTCCTTGTGTTTTTGGACAACCGAACAAAACCCCTTTGATAGCTCAAAGCCATTCTTCCATTGCGTAATCGGCCAACTCCTTTGACACTCGATCAGTCAATTACTGACTGCAATCACCACAATGCATCCAGAGACTAATGGTCACTTAAGAGGAATTTTGTTGCAATTCTATCACTTAGTCACACCAGGTGGCCATTAGAACAAGATGACTGCATGTGACCACAGAGAACCATTTAGATTTGTAAAAATAGTTCAAAAAGTTTATCCTCAGAGACACATAGTTTGGTTCCTTTAATAACTCAGACTGCTTGTATATTTAGCTCATTTTTTCTATACATGTAAACGGGATGAGTTTTAGAAAATGTAAGTCAAATGAATTGCTTTTTCATAGTAATGAGGAGAGTGTCCACAGTTATATTTATTTACACATTTACTGCAGGATCTGCTGGAATGCAAACAATTATCCAGCATATCCTGCAGTAAATGTCATTTTCTGCCTATGTAAATATGTAACAACTTTTCTTAATTTTTATTATTCCATTAAACTAATATTTGATTTCATGACACATTTATAACTCACTATAAAACCTTTTCAGTACAAATAAGCATGAAGTGGATCTATCATTTTATGATGTAAAGCACTTTGAATGGCCTTGTTGCTGAAATGTGCTCTACAAATAAACTTGATTGATTCAAGTTTATTTGATTGATTGTCAATCAGTCAAATAAACTTGCATACAATAGGATTGCCCATAGAAATCTATTGGATTTACCAGTATTCAATTCAATTTCTGATTCTGAGTTTTTACACATCTTTTCAAATTATTAATATAAGAAGATGAAGAACCCTGCCATGAGCCGTTATTTATCATTTATATTGGGACGAGAAGGGAAGTCACTTCCCCTTCTCGACAGGAGAGCCAATGTGAAGCAGAGTTTTACTGTTAATCTCAAAAATAAAAATAGAGTGAATATGAAGTGGTTGGCATAGTTAGCATTACAAAAATAACATTCTCTCTGTGTATTTTCTGTAGAAAGAAGCAGAAACTTTCTTTAACTCTGAAACATATTGACTTGCAGACTGTTTTGTAACAGAACTTGAAAAACCCAAAAGGATAAAAAGAAACATCTTGTACTCCCTCCATCCTTCCTATTGTCTTCTTAAAGTTTTGCTCTCTCTCACTCTCTTGCAGGAAGAGAATAAATCACAATATGTTCCTGTATATTGTAGCAAATATGTTTTTATTTTAAATAGGTTTTCACAGATTATTTGGCTTTCTATTACCTATTACTAAAAATCTTTACTGATTTTGAAAATATTTATCTCTCTTGGAAACAATGTCCTGATATAAAAAAGTCATTAATAACAGATTGCTGACTGTTAGCATGTCACAGCTAATGTGCTTAAAGTGAATTTTAGATTGTTCTGATTATGAGATGATCTGCTTTAACAGTTGAAATACAAATTAAATATAATTTAGCATTTTTCTGTCAAGTCTCAATATCAGAATAACTTACCTGAGACATTTAAAATGATAATAATAGCCTTATAATGCTATACTGACTCTGGCCTCAGTGCATAATTACCTATTTTCTAGAGCAGCATCTCATGAAGAAAATACTACAGTTGAAATTCTGCGCAGTGTCACAAAACAGTGTTTTTTATATTACACTATGTAGCACAGCTTGTCCAGAGTTTAAACCTGAATTAATTCATGCTCATAATCCGCCACCCAGATATTCTAAGTTAAATTCTTCCTCCCAACATAAACTTTTAAACTGTCATTAATAGATTCCTAACAACATTAACAAAAAAACAAATTGTCAAATGCAGTGATTCTTATATAATATTGCAATCTGCTGTCTGCCAGGTAATCTTTGTATCTGTAATCTTCTTGTGTTTGCATTTCTGTACTTTTTAAAATGACCTGATAGTTTCATCAATAACGGTCTTCCACAAAAGCATATGTGTCTGTGTAACAATGTGACCTTGAGCAAGCTTTTGCACTCTCAAGGAAATTTTGATTTTTAATTTTTTTTTTTACATAAAGTTTGCCCAAATGTTTATTAGTATCTGTGTTTATTGTCAAAACTAATTTAAATGTATTTTAATTAAGGTTCAATAAAGGTTTTGTTGGTGCCATCTGGCTGATTTCTATTCGATGACATTACGTCCAATAAAACCTCAGAAAACTTTTTGTAGGTCCAACAAATGGCAAACAAATAAGGTCACAGATCCAAACATGGTTGTTGACATTTAAACTAAACTGTTAGTTATTTTCAGCTGCTATCTTGGGGAAACAGAAATTTTGTTTTTTATACTGTAAATGTGGTTAAAAGAAAAAAAACTATGACAAAAGCACAAAATGATTCCATTTTAGCTCAAACTTACGCATATATAGAGTAAGATTCTTGTCATCAGTGGTCCTAATCAATTGTCACAGTAATATTTAGAGATGAACCAATCGAGAAAGGCAAGAAGTTAGCAATTTAAGCCAATTGCAGTTCTCTTTAAAAAGTTATTTCTTTTACTTTATGCCATTTAAAGAATTAAATGTAAGAAACCTTTTAGATGAAACCAAACTGAGAGTTTTCTCATAGATGTATTTCAGAGCCTGACAGAAAACAACAGATAGATTTCATCAAAGCATTTCCTCTAATTTTTATCTAAGTGTATTCCTGTTTTCCAGAAATCTTTAGTTGTGGAAAAAGAGTTTTTAGTTTTGAAGTATATTTTTAGTGTTGTGTCTGGTGATTACTGGCCATATCAATTATGGAAACGTGTTTAATTTTCACATTTCATTGTTTCAAGGTTACCTTCTCAAATGCAGGAATATAGCTACCTCAAGTAATAAAATTAGTTACAGATGAAGCTAACTAGTATGGCTAACCATTCACCACAAGTTTATATAGAGAAGAGATATTTATTCAACACACCCAAAAATATCATTGGAAATGTTATGCCAAATAAAGAATAAAAAAAAACACTGTCAAAGCCAGCATCTTCACCTGATTAACTTTGTGCTCACAAAATTAATAACACACTCATGCTAAAATAGGCATAACTGAAAAATATTTGGTGTTTCTGTGTTATTGATGTTGTCCATTTTCTGTTCTTCAGCCTGATGGAAGGAGGCAAGAGTGTGTCTTTGTCGAGGAATTCCTGGAGAACAACTACACGGCTCTTGTATCGGCCAAGTACAAAGGATGGTACCTTGGCTTCAACCGGAAGGGCCGGCCCAAGAAAGGCTCACGCACCACGCAGAGGCAACAGGAAGTCCACTTCATGAAGCGCCAGCCGAAGGGTCGAGTGGACCCGTTGGAGGAGTTCCGTTTCACCACAGTAACTAAGCGGACACGAAGGGCTCGGCGGTTAAAAACCAACCCCAAGAGGAACTGACGGGACCGTTGGGAAAGCACTAGATGTCCTCACAGGAGGAAACAGAAACTGAAAATCTCAAGCTTCTTAAAAGAATCACCTTAAAGACTCTGCTTCTGTAACAGAAAGACAAACTAAAAGAACAAAAAGTCAAAGATGTTTTATTTTTGTATTTCAGGATGACTGAATATTTCCTGACTCTTGGATTCTCCTGGGTTGATGTCTTTGTGCTAATGTTTCTGTCATGTTATTTATACCGGATAAACTCAAGGACCTCTGAGAGAACTCGTGTCGCTGCTGTCCTCAGCCACGTTTGAACTGCAAGCTGAAGGCATACTTTCTTTTTGACAATGGGAGCTGAAGCAGGAGCTGACGCAATGTTATAAAAATCAGCCAACTAGAGATTTATTGGAATACCTGTCGGTTTTTGTTTGTGTTACCCCTGACAACGCGGATCCCATACTTTCCACTGGAATTAGACACCATGGAGATGAAACGGAGAGAGGCGGCAGGTGACACCGCGCTGCCGGGATAACTGTGTAGCTTTGAGTGCAATATTTTACAAGTCTCTTGTCCTCTACGTTCTTTCCATATGTCTTTCATCCCTAAAAGTCACTTGTGGCTCCTGGAATGCGCTGAAACCTCGCAGTCCCCAGTGAGATCTTCATGACATTTCCATGCAGCCTGCGATTCAGCTGAAACGCAACGTGCTTTGACGAGTCCAACACCCGTTGTGATTTTAGTCTTGTTTAAACACTGAAAGGACACAGTACAAACAGAAAAAACAGCGTAATTCCACACTGTCTTCCAGCTTCAACACACGTGGGGAAGGTTGTTAATCCCTTTTGTCTGTTTCTATTAACTCTTCATCACATGTGTTAAAACTGTTTCAAATATGGATTCCTTTTATTCCTAAACTGAGAGCTTGCCAGCCTTTTGGGGCTGACAATGACTTCCTCTACCTCTTTTGTTTGTGTTCAGTTAATCTCAACTTTGACCTTAAACTCAGCTCTTCTTCTTTTCTTTCGCTCACTTGAAGATGCTTTTGGAAAAAAAGCATACCAATCATCCACAGACAGAAAATCTGTGCATTATCCTACATTATTCTATAAACCTCCATCTGATGATTAAAGCTTCTTCTCAAATACTGAGATGACAGGATTCAGAGAATCCTTTCAGCCAGATGTCATGTCTGAATCATAAAAAGGGAAAACACTTTGCTTCTCACCGACAACAAACTCCAGGTTTTTTCACCAGTAGTTTGTATTTACCTGACCCCTGGCAGGTCTTTTTGTATGAGTTGCTACTAACAACATGACACATTTATGTTTTTTTTAAACAAATCTAAGCAAAAAATAATTTTATGACTATTATTAAGATATTTATTGTCTCCTTTTGTAAATAAAATGTGAGTTTTATTTGGCCTCTTTTAATAAAATGAGGACTGTATTTAAAAAAAGTTTGTGTTTATTAAATATAAATACTTTCATGTCTCAGTTTAAGAATATTTTTGACTATGTACCCACTGAGTATGACAGTCTTTGAAAGATGAATGCTGCAGGTAGAAGGTGGTTCAACATAGCGTACATTCCCTTCTCCACATACTGCCAAGGTATGCATTTTTATATACAAACTCAGGAGTGTGAGGTCTGCTTTTAAGGTCATCTCTTTAAAAAAAATATTGCAACATCTCTCAGAGCTTTTTATATCACCACAAAGGCCTCTGAGAGTTCACAAATCTGGTGATTTTACTGCAATGTTGATAGGGTTACATCTGCAAAAGTCATCATTGGATGAGAAGGTAGTATTTCAGTGTCTAGTTTCTGTTAAAATGACAAAAACGGAATGAAACACAAACAGGATATTTTTTTGCAATAAAAGAAAAAGTTCCTTAGACAAATAGCATGTAAGATATAACTTTTTATGCAAGTGCAATGCTCTTTGAATGCAAAAACTGACACTATTGTGGAGTCTTTTGGATGTTTTTTAAAGTGCTGAAGGAATGCAGAGTAGCACATCTCATAATGCTGTGTGCAGGAATGATGTTTACAGTTACTGTCAGACTGAAAGATGGAGGCTTTGAAGGGGGAAAAATACTCGTGTTTAAATTCCTTGCGATCTTATCAGGGCCCCCCTTCTTCGCTCCACTCTGGTAGTCACCTCCAGCAGATCCAGAGATTCCCCATTCTGTCATGGGATTTCAAATGTCTGACCTGCTTTTAAAGGTGGAAACAGAGTGCTCGACGTGTGACCCGGTGATGCACCATTAACGTAATGGATCCACGCTGAACACTCTTTGTCTTCAGGGGTTTGCTGTAAGAGGACTGGGGGATTTTGTAGAATACTTCATGTGGTTTAAACTTGACTGGATGTCGTGTTATTTTTTTGTTTTTCTTTTTGTACTTTGCGTGAGAAATGATAATAATAAAAACGGCAGGAGGGGGCTTCCAGAATAGTTTGTTGTGAGTGGCCAGATCTGGGTCACTCATTAGCTTCAAGTGGGATGCTTCTGAATTAAATAAAAAAAATATTGGTCCTCTTTGACATTGTTTCAGGCAAATAGTTTGTTAAAATAGGTTTTTAGGTACATGTGTACCTGATTCAACATTGCAACAGTTACAATGTTATTTTTGACATAAATACCATAAATGCCATTGTATGACGATCATATAACACCAGGGCCAAGATGGAGTGACAAGTACACCTGTTCTTGATTCACTATGTGCAGATATTTCTGTGAATCGTGTCATGAAAGATCGACTCATTCATGGATTTTTCTGTAGAGCAGACTTCAGATATTCTAAAGATCAGGTTACTACAAAGTAACCTGATCGTTACTGACTAGTGTTTGCAGACCAACCAATCTTGGAGCCATCACTTATTTTCTTTGGTACTGGTTTGACGTAACTTCAAGGGCTGAACTAAGAAAGACGAAGGATGTTTGCTTCTACAGTAGTGCCAATATACTTTCCACTGAGTGTATTAATGCATATTTGGTGTTTGAACACAAATACTCGGTGTCAATATGAGGCTCTTCGAAGGAACAAAAGGAAAGCTTGGTAATATAAATAATTAATTGTAAATTATCAAAGTTTTTTCTTTGCTCTCTTAAATTCATGATAAACAATATTTATGTACATATTGTAATATAATATAATACTATATAATATATTATTATGTAGTATAATACAATAATAATCTATACTTACCATCTTTGCTCCCCTGTAAATAAAAATATATCCTATTTGTTTGGGCAATACAAATAAGTACTTTTAATTTATTTCTAGCTACTGAAAATCTCTACAGTTTATGACTTTTGCGTCTGATGTTTAGTTAAAACACCGTTTAACAAGTTGAGGAATCTAATTAATCCAACTTTACAAACTCTAGTTATGTGAGAATGAGGCTTTTCTTTCTTTTTACCCCTCGTACTGCATACTTCAAACTTGACCAAGCACAACCAAACAGCATCTGGGTATATTGACATTTAAACGAGTGCCAATGGTTTAAAACATGTCACCCCATCCGCAATAAGGAGATGGCATTTTTGCATAAGCCTCCCGCTAGGCTTTTCTCTGATTCAACCTTTGATCATTGGAGGCTGGATGGTCTTGGAAGTGGACCAATAACTTCAAAACGAAACATAGAATTCCCTTTTACAAAGCTTAGCCTCCTTCTGAAAGGAGGTGGAATCTTTAAAAGCAGTCCTGCTTGCCAAGTAGGTTTTATTCTATTATTAGAAAGATCGCTGCATGCTGAAACTTTGCACAATGGGTACAGTATGACCAGGGCTGTGTCAATATGGAGAGAAAAAAAAAACTTGTGGTTCTGAATAAGTTCTACAAGTTTTAGTGCAACAACAACAAAGTGGTTTCTTTGGCCTGGAGCTCAGCAGCCACACACTTAACAATTAGCCCTGTCAACAGAAAAGTACATACTTTGAGACATAAAACAAGCTTTGTCTCTGTGAACGTAACTGGAATTGTCTGTAAAGAAAAAATTAAAAATATGAAGCCAAACAAAACAAAGTTCTAGCTACTCTATACCTCGTGCTGCTGAATGTAGTCTCAAGTCACGTCATTGACTGTCTAAACAACATTGCTGCTACCACCCGTCTAACTTACCCTAAATGCTGACCACAGCTGACTGGTTGCCTTTTATGACTGGATTCCACATGAGAAACACTCTGTGATGCTCAAAGTATTTTTTTACATAAATGGCTGAGTTGTGTTTTTCCAGGATTACAAATGTGCTTACTGTACGTACACTTTATGCAAAGCCAGACCTCTTCTGTTTTCCTCTGAACAACATGCAAAGTCAAAGTCAAGCAAAGCGACAACAACAAAACTTTTCGTAGATTTTTATTTTTACAGAATCAGAAGATAATTTGGTATCTTTCCAACAACAATGATATAATGACGTAAAACAAACTATTGTTTTAAAGAAGAACAAATACTGGATTTAAACTGAAAAAAACAACAACTACTTTTTACAATTAAATTTTAAACTAAATGAAATGCCACAAAATACAAGGTAACATAACTGTAACCCCATTAAGCAGACACTTCAATTAAATACTAATTTTACGTAGTAATTATTTTATTTATATCTTTGTACATGTCACTAAAATGTTTTTACAAAGATGCAAACACAAAACAATTTTAAGTCTTTTAATTGAATTTAACTGGACTTGTTTTCTGTTTCAACTTTTGCAACAATTTCTTTCTCTGTCTCTCTAGAGAGTTTCCACTATTATTGAAGTTTCAACAATATTATATATATATATATATATATATATATATATATATATATATATATATATATATATATATATATATATATATATATATATATATATATATAGGGATTTTATGAAACAGACCAACACAAAGCAGTGCATGTGCATGGTTTTCTCTATCTGTCATTAAAATCTGATTTTTTTACCTACGTCTATTCCTATTGAAGGAATTCATCCCCACAGCTTGGTGCTGAGGTCATCATGTTTCACTGTTTTCAGGTTACGCTGACCAGAGCACCTCCTTTCACATGTTTATTATGTATCCTGCATGACCTGTTACCACATGCAAATGGCTTTCTTCTGGCTATTCTTCCAGAAAGACCAGAAATGTAGATGGAGTTTGTCTAATTGACAATTTCTTTTTATTGTTTTAATCTTCTTTTGACTTTCTCCTTTACCTTTCTGCTGTGATATTTGGTTTTATGATGCTCTTTCGACATTAATGTTCCCTAACAAACCTCTAAGCTCTTCTTAAAACAGGCGCGTGTATTTATAATTTTACTTTTAAAAACAGAATGTTCTTTTTCTTCCAGCAATGCACGTTATGTTGTGGTCTATCTCATAAAATCTCAATAGAATATAATAGCTGCAACGTGAAAGAAACTGAAAAAACTTCAATATCATAGCTTTTGTATGGCACCATATTTATTTTCATAGTTCCATTCATCTTATCATTACATTAATATATTTTGTACAAATCTGTGGTTAAAGTAAAAAAAAAAAAAAATAGAATAATAACAACAAATGGAGCTTGATTAACAAGTGACCTGGAAAGTTGTCTGCCTTTATATTAAATTAAACAAGACAATGGATAATTAATTTAAAGGAGTGCACCCTTTAAATATTTTATTAAATTTATTCAGACTCCTATTTTCTTGCCCCAGCTTCAGCTTTAAAACAAGTTTGATAGCATTTTAAATATTTGATGTATTTAAAAGTCAGAGACACATAGAGAGGAAGAGATAAAAAAAAAAAAAAAAAAAAAACTTATAAGACATGCATCACTACAATATTCAATAACATGAACCTCTTCACTAATGTGATATGGGGGAAAAATCATAGGTCTTTTATTCCTTCATCTGTCTGTAATATAAACATAATAAATATAATAATTTATAATAAAGGGAAAACCATAAAATGACACATAAACACAAACGCAAAAAGATTGTCTCTTTCACAAACACTCATACGTCAGCCCTGGTCCCAGCATCAACAGATGCCAGGTGACACAGCTCATTAACTTCTCCTTTCTCCTATTCTTTTGGCCCCTCATTGTCTTGAGATATGAGATGAGTCTTTGTTGAGAGTTTTGTCCCCTTTTCTCTCAGCCAGGCAGGGCCCATAATTAGTGCTTTGCGCTGGGCGTACTTTCTCACAGGGCTACGACACAATTAATCAGCACTTTCCCACCAATAGGCAGAAGCTGCTTGATTCTATCAAGGCCACATTTTTAGGTTCTGACGCCTTTTTCCAGTAATGGTAAAACTAGCACACAATAGAAGTTTTTTTTTTCTTTAAATAATAAATGGTGCAATCAAAGAATGGAAAATTAATAGAAGCATTAAGCTCTCCTAAACGTTCAGTAGTCAGACATTCAAATGGCAGTTTTCATTGTTTAGGTCAGTGCATGAGTCAGAATTCAGAGCTATG